TTAGTTTCCTGATCAATACAGCCAACGTGTGACAGCTTCAGTGTCACACGTTGGCTCTAATTATGGAGATGAGTGGAATTCATTTCCCATAATTATCTTTAAAGTGAATGTGTAATCTGTTTAACAATTGTTAGTCATACATGTAAAAGAGACCAGTTCAGGGCCCATTCTTATCTTTGCATCCTGGTGTTCTGCGTTAAATGCATGCATGGTAATGGTTTTTCAAATGAATGTGCTACCAAGGCACCAAAAAATACAAAAAATTGGATATGCACCGTTTTTTGCAACACAAGTTACTGTGCATTGTGGTGAACCGCAACACGTCTTCCTAAATATACTTCCATGTGAGACTGCTGTGTGCCCATAGAGACTTCTATATAAGAATACTGTGTTCCAAGAGTGACTTCTGTATGAGACTGCTGTGTGTTCCCAGAGACTTCTATGTGAAACCTCTGTTGTCCAAAAGGGACTTCTGTATGAGACTGCTCTGTTCCAAAAGGGACTTCTGTATGAGACTGCTGTGTTCCAAAAAGGGGTATGAGACTGCTGTGTTCCCAAGAGACTCTGGAGTCACAAAAAGAGTTCTATTCGAGACTGCTTTGTTCCAAAATGTGCTTGTGTATAAGGCTGGGCACACACCTTACAACCATCGCAAGACTTTTGTCTTGCGATGGTTGTAAGGCACTTTAAAAAACGTACGATCTGCTTATCTTGCATAGGCAGATCGTACTTGCGATGATCGCAAGCCACGCCCCCTGAGGAGCGGGCTTCCGATGACCGCAATGCCGAACGGGCACTGTGCGCTTGCGCACACCGGCCCGTACGGCTTTTATCGTACGAACATGCCACAAACCCAACGAACATCATACGATGCTCGGCGGGTTTTCGAACATGTCCGTAAGTTAAAAGTCGTGCGACCTTACAGCAGTAGAGGTCGCACGGCTTCCACACACCTTACGTTAATCGTACGATCGCGGGATTTCCCGCGATTATCGTAAGGTGTGTGGGGACCTTAAGACTGCTGTGCTCCCAAGGTGAGACTGTTGTGTTCCCAGAAAGACTTCTACGTGAGGCTGCTGTGTTCCAAGAGTAATGATGTGGGAATGCTGTGTTCCAAGAGACTTTGTGAGACTGCCGTAGCTCATGAGAGTCTATGCGAGACTGCTGTGTCCCCATAGACTTCTATGTGAGACATCTGTATTCCAAAAGAGACTTGTGTATGAGAACACTGTGTTCCCAGAGAGCTGTGTGACTTATTTTATTATAATGAGAGAACGGCATATGAGACAGTTAATGCCATCAATCAAGCAAAACGTGGCTGTGCGGCTTTCACATTTTCTGCAGAAGACGTGTATCTAAACCTCTGCTTTTAACCTTAGTGGTTAGACAGGTTTTTTTGCATGCTGGCTGGTGAGTGTGCCTGGAAACTGTTGGCAGTTAATGTCAACAGACACTGACGAATGTTGATGGAAATTTAGTTTGATTCGTACTTTTGATTTTGGAATGAATGGTGTTTTCTGAATGAAAACCACAACATTTACGGTCAGAATTTAATTAGTTCGAGAAACATTTTCAATCCTGCTCCTTCGAGGTTTTTCCACACTACGGTCAAAATCAATTGCCAATTTGACCCCATAAACCAATAGAAAGTCAAACAAAAAAATCTATCGCACAATAGTTCTTTCAAAAGCATTGTATGGCCTTTGCTAAAAGGTTTCAGGTTGGATATCCCTGTATTCTGTATTCATATTAACACATCTATCTTAGGTCAATCTTCCAAAATTAGATTTTACAGTTGTCAGCAGCGCCAGTAGACTCAATCAACAACACATTTCATGCATCTTCCAGGAAAAAAAATAGAAAAGCGAAATCTGTGATAATATTTGGGAAACAATGATGTGGTCTTAAAAACAAAAAAAGGCTTGTTTAAAATATGAGGAAGTACAGCAGTTCAGAATGATTAAACAGAACTCTGTAATAATGGACACAAAAGAAAAACATGGGATATTTTTTATATCTGCCAGGAGTTCAGCTTCTTGTTTGAATTCCGAAAAATGTCTACAGGAACAAAGTCAAAGATAAAAGACAATAAGGATTCAGTAAATGTAGATGTTAGTCCAAAAAGAATAAACAGAGGGGGATGTTTGAAGTCAATCCTTGCCGCCTGAAATTGTTTTTCCATCTACCAGCATGTAATTCATTAATGCCCGTGACACCAAAAAAAAAAAAACCTTCTTGGGCTCCTCACCTTCCTATTGTCCAAAATATGTAAAGGTAGGCCTCAAAATCTAATAGAAAGGTGGGGGAAGCAAGAAGGGATGGTCACAGAGTGTGACCAAAGCAGAACTTGACTTTTTTTGGTTTACAATGCAACTCAAGTTTTCCGAGTTCTAGGCATCTCTGGACATAAAAAAATATATATATATATATATCACATGAGCAGGTATGGGGCAAGGCAGCTGTAACCCCGTTTGTTTAAAAGAGTCCATTAAGCATTTGCTGACCAGGTGTCTACACCCCCTTCCTGGCCAGGCCATTTTTCAGTATTTAGCACTGTAGTATTTTGACTGACAATTATTCCATCATGCAACACTGTACTGAAATTAATTTTATACCATTTTTTGTGGACAGATAGAGCTTTCTTTTGGTGGTATTTAATCACCACTGGGGTTTTTTTTATTTTTTACTATATTAAGGAAAAATTAATGAAAATTTTGGGGGTAAAAAACTTTTTTTTTACATTGTTATAAAACATTTATTCTTACCTAATTTTTTTTGTAAAATATAAAATACGGGGTCACGTTGGGTAAATAGACAACAAACATATCAAGCCTTAAAATTGAGCGCACCCGCGAAATTGCAAAAAACTACCATACCCAAAATTGACCATAGGTGATGCTTTAAAAGCTTTTATCGTTCATCAGTTTAGTGTTCTCAGTGATTGATGGCCCTAGAATTATTGCCCTCACTGCGACGTTCGCGGCGATATGTAACATGTGCGACGTAATGTTTTTGCACGTATGTGCACCCGACGCATGTTTGTATGGGTGGGGATTTTTAAAAAAGGTTTGTGTCTTTTTAATTCTTTTTCATGTGACACATTTTTTTTTTCTTTCACGTAACTTTATTGTTATCTCATAGGGGGCTAAGAAACCCCCCTATGTGATAGCAAAGATATGTGACAGGTCTTCTTTATGGAGACATCATGGGTCTCCAATGTCACCTAGGGACCCCCAAAGAAGCTGATAAAGCAGAGATCTGCTTCATCAGCTTCTCTCCAGCGTCTGAAGCTGGAGAGTGACACAAGAATGCGGAAGTGATGTAATATACATCACTTCCGCATTCTGACACCGGAGAGGGGACCAGAGGGAGATCGTGTACTGATCTCCCTCTGAACCCTTGTCAGAGTGCCACCATGCTGGTCCCGGGCTCCGATCGGCACCCCATACAAGTGATCCGCCGCTTGTATGTAAACAGACATTGCTACCCGTCTTTACATTTCAGTCGTTTCCTGCTCGCACGTGAGTGAGACGGGGCTAACAGGCCATATCTACACGGCCTGTTACATCCAGGAAGCTCCCGGCCGGCCGTCTTTCTACAACGGCCAGCAGGTGGTTAATGTAAAGAAAAACAGTACTGAGAGATACAGTAAGTCATATCAATGTAGGGCTGGGGGGGACCAGCTTTGTCCCTTTGACTTTAATATCCCTTGAAAGGTGGAATTGTGCTTTAAAGAAAATCAGGTGTCAAAGGCTGAAATGAAAAGGTAGTTTATAAAGTATTAAAGTACTTGAAAAAGTTTAGTTTTTATTCATAAAGTGGAGTTTCCCTTTCACAATAGGCTGTGTACACAAAAATATGTCAGGTTTGCCGATTTTTTTAAAACAAATAAATACCGTATGTCTGGCAAAACTCTTTGGGACTGATTAACAAAAAGAGTCAAGCATGTTCACTTTGCAAGGGAATTTTCATTCACCTTAGTGAATAAGGGGAAGCTGCGCCAATGCATCATCCAATCATGTGCTAGTAAAAATTATGCTTATTTTATTTTCCTTGCACGCGATTGGGTATTCTTTGCAAAGTGAATATCCCAGATTCCTTTAGGCCCCATTCACATCTATCTGTGAGCATAGCTAGGCAATTTAAAAACACAAGTTTTTTTTCCATTACTGGTAATACAAGAGAAACACCGTTAGTTTTTGGCCCCATAGATTTTTAAATAGGAGAACTTTGGGAATCGCTTAACAAAACGTTGAGGTGTGAATGGGGTCTTAGTACATCAGCCACAAAGATTCTTCCTTATTTAAAAGATCCAAGGCCTCATTCACACGAGAAATGGCCGGCACGTACAGCTCCTTGCTGCGTGCACGGCCGTATGGGGCAGCTTACGGGAAGGCCAGGTGCTGCGTGTGATTAGTACGCAGCCCGTCCTTCTCTATGGGAATACCCGGCCATATGCCACCCTACGCTCACCCGATCCTGTCTGCGTCCGACCTGGGACACCCGCATGGACCTGCGCCTGAGGTAAACGTAGGGCGGCGTACGGCCGCATATTTCCATAGAGAAGGACAGGGGCTGCGTACTAATCACACGCAGCACCTGTCCATCCCAGGAGCTGCCTGATACGGACGTGCACGCAGCACGGAGCTGTACGTGCCGGCCTTTTCTTGTGTGAATGAGGCCTAAACCTAAACTGCACCTTTCCGACATTTACAAAAGTAAAGGAATGAAATAGTGACCATTACTAATATTAATTTACAACATTTATTACACCTGTACAGGCAATTGACATCATCATATGAATGCAATGTACAAGTACTGCCACAGGAGCCTGTCCATCGACATCTTCAAATATCTGACAGGAGTTATAATCCTTCCCCACTCTATCCAAATCTATTGTTAGGTTATTGTTGGATAACCTGAAATTAGAGCACAGATAGCTCAGTCTTGCAATCAGCCTGTATCTGAATTTAGGTCTTGATATCTTCTTCCACCTTTTGCTAGAACCAGACCTGCAATTATGACATGAAACCCTGGACAGTAACAATAATAAATAGAACTTGATGGTCGCTTGGAGTCACATGTGTTTCCTGGGTCTGGACAGACGAATGGTGGCAATCTATTTCTTGGCAGTGTCCTTGGTCTGGATCATGTCTTTCGCAGAACAGAGAGCACCCAGTTTCAAAAGCATTTCCTTAGAGGTCACATGGGCCGATTTAATCAGCAGTCTTTCACCATCAACTGAAAGGAAAAATAGCAGCAGTAAATAGAATGTCATCTATGTCATCAATCTCTACTGATTTAGTAGAGATTGAAGAAGAAAAAAAAAGGTTGCCGGAGGTGGATTGATGTATTTATAATGTAACATAATGGGGTTGTCACTGTGCTATATATGCAGTGAGCTCCATCTACTGCTCAATGAATAGAAACAAGACATCACTGCCTATAGGGTACTAGTGTACCCAACGTAAGTAATAGATTCTATGTGCTGTTTACAGGCACTACCAGATGGACAATCAATGCTTGCTAAAAGGATATAGGGTCTTTCATAGAAAGATTAAAGCGGAACTGACGCCAAAACCTTTTTTTAAATTTTGGATATAGTAAGGAAGGGTTATAACCAGTCACCTTTTTTTCCCACCTGTGTCCCATTAGGGAGATTTCCCTGCACTTATCCCACAATCATAGCAGGTGAGAGGAAATCCCTCCAAAGAGAGGAAAATCCCTGTTGGTCAGTAGGGTCACCAAAACCAATCTACACATTGGAAGCATTCTCCACTATTCCTGTTCTAGTAACAACCCACAATTTGGGATTCTCTTTCACTTTCAGTGATACTGGTCACCAAAGAGAGGGGTGAATCTCCCTATTGGGGACACAGACAGCAAAAAAAAAAAAAGGTAGGTGTCCTAATCCCTCTCCACACTAAAAGTAAGGTTTTGGCTTTAGTTGCACTTTAACACATTCATACAGATAGGGAGATGTTTTACTGAAAATGATAAATCATCTGCTCATCTCGGGAATCCACCAGGGCCCACTGTAATGTACTGTATAGCATCATAGCGTCCATTCTCTTCAGGAAATAAAAATCGATATGTACAATAAGAACACTTCTAACCATCAATCAGTAATTCCCCCTCCACTCATGCATGAGGTCATGAGGCTACCAAGGTGTAGAAAAGAAATGAGTGGGCTATATTGTCATTTATAGCTGTGAACTGCATGCGACACGTTCTTTTTAACAAAACTAAACGTAAACAATAAAGACTGATGGGTAAATGAGAGATGGACATACCTCCAATGATTAGCAGACTACTAATGACTGGAGCGAGAATAGCACTGCACAGGAACTGTGTACTAGAATGTGTATCATCTCATTACTATTGTTACAAGGAAAGAGCACATTTCACTGCACTGCTCTAACATATCACAGAGGTACACGGAGGACTCGATAAGTCAAAGCGTTGCACATCTGAACTGGTCTTATTAGTGAGAGTCAACAAACCAAAATACCCTTTTACTTTTCAGAGAATGTAATCAATGGACACCACTGTGTGCAAATTCTAATCAATACGGCATAATTCAACTTACCGAAGTGTACGTCTACTAATGGCTCAGACTTGTCATGTCTCACATCTACACTTATTTCACAATTAATATTAGTGGTACGGATTTTCTTGGAGTTAATGATTTCTAAAAATTCTCTGTAAATTAAAATAAAAGAAGACACGTTACACTGGAAGTCAGTTCACTGAAAGATAAATAGAATGCTGTACATATTAATTGGAGTTCAATAATAAAGGAAAAAGGCACAACAGTATTTCCCTTTCCAAGTTTATACATTCAAAATTCATCTGCATTAATGGAAAACATACAGAGAAATTCCGGACAGAAGAAAGGCACCTATACAGATATCTTAGACATTATACAGATGTGGACAAGGTTGTTGGTACCCTTCTACAAAAATAAAGATCAAAGTGATTTTTGAATACTTTTGTGAATATACAGTCAGTGGTGTGGAATTTGTATCGCCCGGGACATGTAGTTCCGGGCGCCGGGGAAGTGGTTCTCTCACTGTTTTTGCCCTGCTACTGACAAGTAGCAGGGCTGTTTTTTTTTTTTTTTTAAATGAGCGCTGCGAGCGGGTATAAAGAGTACCTGTCACCTCCAAATGCTATTACACAGGGGATTATTATTTCCTGTGTGATAGCAATACAGTTACGTTTTTTTTTAAAATAGTTAGTATATAGGCATTTAGTATATATTATTATTATAACACAGGATTTATATAGCGCCAATAGTTTGTGCAGCGCTTTACAAAATGATATAAAACATTGTTGCTATACAAGTTTATCAGATAAAATATAGATAAATACAGCTGGTGTCATTGGGTAAGGTATTAGGCACACTGTTCCTGTGTAAAAATTTATTCTGATAAATAGTTATTACATAGCATTACATCCAGAGATACATTCTGTGCATAGATGGAAGTGATCACATTCTGCTATCACACCCCATATATTACTCCTCACATATCTAATTGATTTACATGGTTAGAAATGTATGCAATATAATAATTTTTTATATATATATAGTTTTTAAATATTCCACGGTCACCTGTTAGTGGTATTATAACAAAGTGGAAGCAACTGGGAACAACAGCAACTCAGCCACGAAGTGGTAGGCCATGTAAAATGACAGAGCGGGGTCAGCGCATGCTGAAGCGTACAGTGCGCAGACATTGCCAAGTGTCTGCAGAGTCAATAGCTACACACCTCCAAACCTCATGTGGCCTTCAGATTGGCACAACAACAGTGCGTAGAGAGCTTCATGGAATGGGTTTCTATGGCCGAGCAGCTGCATCCAAGCCTTACATCACCAAGTGCAATGAAAGTGTTGGATGCAGTGGTGTAAAGCACGCCGCCACTGGACTCGAGAAGTGGAGACGTGTTCTCTGGAGTGACGAATCACGCTTCTCTGTGGACGTGTCTGGGTTTGGCGGTTGCAGGAGAAGGGTACTTGCTGGCGGAGTCCCCCCTCCCCCCCCGGGGTGGACTTGCGGTCATCGCAAGTACGATCTGTCTGTCCAAGATAGGCAGATCGTACTTTTTTTAATTACCTTACAACCATCGCAAGACAAAAGTCTTGCGATGGTTGTAAGGTGTGTGCCCAGCATAAGACTGGGACGCTATTAAAGTTCAGGTGCGTGTAAAGGCAGGTGTCCCAATACTTTTGGCTATATAGACAACCTTAGCTCTCCAGCTGTGCTGAAACTACAAATGCCATCATGCTTCTGCCTCTGGGAGTCATGCCTGTGGCTTGCCATGCCTTACGGGATTTGTAGCTTCAGCACAGCTGGAGAGCCGAGTTTGCCTACCCCTGCCCTAAGCCATGCTATCTGCTTCTTTAACCACTCTTGCCATGCCTGTATAGGTGCACCAAAGCACTCACATCAGCACGTGTCCACAATGCAGAAAAACATGTAATGTGCTTGGAGCGCCATTACGTGTGACAGATAAAACACACGTCTCTGCCCACTCGATGATGTGCGACAAACATGCAAAAACCGCGTGGTCAACAAACACATGAAGCTCACAGGTCACTGCTGCATGAACTTCTTTGCCGTGTTTGTGGCTCGTAAGACATCCCATTGAAATGCCCTGCGCAAAAGCGCCCTGCACGTCCGTACTCGTACGCTGACGGGATGGATCCTGTCTGCGCCCGAGCCAGGACACCCCCACCCGTACTTGAGCGTAGGGGAAGCAAACTCCCATAGAGAAGGACAGGGGCTGCGTACTAATCACACGCAGCTCCTGTCCTTCCCGGGAGTTGCCCAATACGGCCGTGCACGCAGCGCAGAGCTGTAGGTGCAGGCCTTTTCTCGTGTGAATGAGGGCTAAATAAGCGCTTAGATAGGTAGGAGGAGAACCATGAGAGAGCAGAGTCTGAAGGTGCCCATACACTGCTCGATTCTCGTACGAGAATCGGGTGAAATACCGCGATCGTACGAGAATCGAGCAGTGTGAACTAAGACGTGCGACCGTTTCTACTGTACGGTCGCACGTCTTTTGTCGAGCCAACATGCTTGAAAACCAGCCGAGAATCGTACGATTCTCGGCGGGTTTCTAGCCTGCTAGCCCGATAGCTGCGGAACGGGCCGGTGTGCGCACGCGCACACTGCCCGTTCTGCATTGCCGTCATCGGAAGCCCGCCCCTCAGCGGGGCGGGCTTCCGATGATCGCAAGTACGATCTGCCCGTCCAAGGTGGGCAGATCGTACGGGCTTTTAATGAGCATACGACCATCGCAAGACAAAAGTCTGGGCACCTTTATAGGCCAAGCGTGTGGAGTTTTTTGAGGAGGAGCAGGTGGTCTAGTGTCAAAAGCAGCAGAAAGGTCTAATAGCAAGAGTAAGGGGTAGTGGCCATTGTTTTTAGCACATCTCTAATTATAAGCGGACGTGGCATTGTACTACAAGGCCTGCTCTACGGAAATGAGCTCATGATCACCCCATTCATCCGACAACAATCACCTATGAAGAGGTCCATGTGAACTCTGCAGACACCTTCCATCAACCTGATCTCATTTCACCTGTGCAGCATCTTTTGACACCAGCTGTGTACATAATAAGCACACATGCTGGGACAATACAAGCATGCACGTTTATGCCCCAATGCTTCCAATGAAGCAGCCTCATGTCTGTGATGTCAGCACTGTAACACCTGCACAGCACAAGGAAACTGAATTGTATGAATTCATCTGGTGAATGGGACAATCATGAGGACCTCAGACAACTAAAGGACGCCAACTGGTGACCCCGACGTGCTCCTATAACCTCTGAGTGACATCCTCAGAGCACCCAGTCACGTGGATGATCACACACTGCACGTCCACGGCCTCCTCCTCCTTCTCACCTGGTGGACTTCACATTGGATTCGAAGGGACACAAGCGGACAGCGATGGTTTTCACTGATTTCAGCACCAGCTCTGCTCCCTTGGACGCCGCCATGATTCCCGCACGCTGTCAGCAAAACGACCAATCAGAGAGCAGAAAGCGAGCCTCAGACGCCATCCCCACTACACTGGAGTGGAGCATGACGGGAAATGTAGTTCACGAACTGTGAGCTCTCGGTGGGTGTGGTCTATGGTGCACACTGGCTACAGCCAGCAATTCTCAGACTCCTCCCCACTACACTGGAGGAAAGCATGACGGGAAATGTAGTTCACACGAGCTGTGAGCTCCCGGAGTCTCGGGGGTGTGATTCTGGCCGCCCGGAGAGAGCTGTGTATTGAAGTCATGGAATGTAGTAACACGGTTCTTGTATGACCTCCCCAAAGGAATGTAAAGGACGCCACTGCTGTATAACTCCTTATTCTATTGCCTTGTGTAGAATGTTTTGCTGCCTAGACCTTCAGTGTTGCAAAGGACGGCTGGGACTGGAGCAGAAACAATGGAGGAACGACGTCTCTTCATGTCCCGGGTGCTTCTCCTGAGTCTTAGGGAGGGGGGATCACTACAGCACTCAATAGGGGGAAAGTCTGCTCATTGCAACAAGCCAGTGGTGTCACAAGGGGTGTGAGGCCCGCTCCGGGTGACACCAAAATCACTGACAGTCATTTAGGCGACATCCCCTCTTAAAGGTCGGGGCACTCAGTCATGGACTGAGAGTTGCATGTGATAGGAGGGGACCTTATCCTGCGTGGTGAACGTCCCCGCCTCTTTGCCAGCATCCATCACCAAGATGGCTGCCGGCAGGTAAGTGCTCGTGACGGGTGCGTGCATGATGATGTGTTGCTGATGACGCCTCTGCAACAAACCACTGAGCTACACATTGTGAAGGACTGCAGAGCCACCAGATATAGTAAATACAGATATACTGTATATAGCAAAAGGTATTGTAGGCAGTGAAAGAACTCTGGGGAAAATGTTTCACTAACCCTTGCAGAGGGACAACCTCCGGACTGCCAGTTTTAGCTGATTGTGTCTAGGTGCTAAAAAAAAAAAAGTTATAGTTCTACCGGAACAGCCGACTTAGCTTCCAACTTCTCTGGTCACTGAAGCGTCTGCAAAAATGGAATGTTCCTTGTTGTCCTCATGTCTATACACTTGTATACAGCGTGATAACACAAACATCCTTAGACCTTTGCAGAGGAGGAGGACAGAGGTTTTATGGACCGGTCTAAGAACAATAGAAAAGTTCTTGTCGCACTCCTTAGCGGAAGTCCCATGTAAGGGGAAGGGTGCTTGTAATGACTGCGGATGGCACCGCTGTATACATAAAATATTTGTGAATAATGCCACCGGCACACCGAAGATCCTTTTGGAATCGCCAAATGCTCATTAAGTTGTCAGCGTAAAAACATGTGCTTTTCTGGACCTCGCAGGGTCCCTTCACCTGGCTTCATCAGGTCTCTTCATCAGGCTTCCCAGAACGATCAGAAGTCTTTAGTGACATCTGATCCTGACATGCTGCGGCATCAGCATGTAAAGCTGGCCACACACCTTACAACCATCGCAAGACTTTTATCTTGCGGTGGTTGTAAGGTAATTAAAAAAACATACGATCTGCCCATCATGGACAGGCAGATCGTACTTGTGATAATCGCAATGCTGAACGGGCAGTGTGCGCTTGCGGCATTTATCTTACGAGCATGCCACACACCCGCCGACAATCGTACAATTCTCAGCGGGTTTTCAAACATCCTAAGATAAAAGTCGTGCGAGCGTACAGTAGAAACGGTCGCACGCCTTCCACACACCTTGCGATTATCGTACGATTGCGGGATTTCCCGCGATTATCGCAAGGTGTGTGGGGACCTTCAGATTGAGTGTCACTAAGGTTATTATTGGCTTTACCTATGTTTGGCTATAACTGACAAAAAAAATGTGTACAAAAAAGTGTAAAATAATAAAAGAATTTAACAAAGTAAAAATGATATATAAAAATATACAGATTTATAAAAATGAACCTCTTCCAATGAAAATCTGCAGATGAGGTGCAGATATGTTTTTCGCCCTCGGGTTCATTTTTTTTATTTAACCCCCTCATGAAAGCGATGTTCAAAGTATGTCGCTGTCACTAAGGCTGGGTTCACACCTGGGCGTATGGAATATGCGCGTTTGCCACGTGTTTTTACAGCGATTTGCGGTTTCCGTGGGCTATCCGGCTGTATCCTAATGGATACGCGCGGCAAATACGCCCCAAAGAAGCTCCTGTACTGTACTTTTTTAGGCGTAGGGCGTTTTACAGCGTGTTCCTACGCACAGGTGGGAACTATGCCCATAGGCAATTATTGGCTCTCACATGTTGAGCGTTTTACAGCGCGTAGGAACACGCTGTAAAACGCCCAGGTGTGAACCAGGCCTAAGTGTGAGAGTTAGTGACACTAGGTGACAGTGACATTGTAGGCCACCTAACCACTATTAGCTTTTAGAGAAAAAATAAAAAAAAGTTAGCTTTTAGTTTTAGGCCGAGAAGTACTAAACAATTTCTGAAATCCTAGGAATGTGAGGTGTTTCCAAATAAAGGACAAATACATGAATTTATTTTAATGCATATTTTTAGCTGTGCTATTTTTCTACAAAAATAATAATCAAAACCTGAGGAAAAGGTGTTTTTTTTTTTTTCCCCCTCATTTTTTTATATTTTATTTATCCTAAGTGAGGCATAAGGCACGCATATGTGATATAAATATATAGCCCTATCTGCCCTCTAAAAAACAATATATACAGGGTTATTCAGAAAGGGGTGAAGAGTTTGGAAAAGGCCGGAGAAGTGAACAATCTAGGACAGTGGTGGCGAACCTTGGCACTCCAGCTGTGCCAAAACTACAAATCCCAACATGCATCTGCCTCTGGGAGTTATGTCTGAGAGAGAGCCTTGCAAAGCATCATGGGACTTGTAGTTTCAAAACAGCTGGAGAGCCAACGTTCGCCACCACTGATCTAGGACAACATAGCTGAACTGGAAAGTGAGTGGAATTGGAGAATTTTTTACAAATCAGCTATGTTGTCCTAGATTGTTCACTTTTCCTGCCTTCTCCAAACTCTTCACCCTTTTGTCAATAACCATCATTATATGTGTGGGCGCACTTTGTAAGAAAGTATATTACTACCGTATAAGAATCACACAGCAAAAATGTAAAAAGTGCGTCAGTCATTTACAAACAGAAACTGAAAAAACCCTCAGTCAAGAAGGGGTTAAAGTGCTTTGTTTTTGTTTTGCTTTTTTTTATTTATCTCTCGCATACAAACCAAAAGGAATTGCGAGACTGTCGAGATTATGATGTAATACAAAAGACAAATCAGGAGATGGCGCCAGTGTCTAAAATGTGCCCAAAGTTTCATATTTTTGGTAAAGGAAAACACCAGTTTTGGTTCACTTACCATTGGCTGTGGCTTGCTGTAAATGCTTTTTTGTAAATGAATGTTTGTACAACTACCTCTCCATTTCAGTCTGCAGGCAGACACTATTTTCTAAAACTGCAATAACATTTGTCTCGTCCTTACAATGATGTCAAGGTTTCTAGCTTGGGATTTTCTATAATTCTCATCCCCAAGAGTTTGTAATTGGCTTCTTTTTCCGAAAGTGTACAGAAAGCTTGAAGTCATGCAGTAAAATGCTCACTCAGTAAACAGCTTATTCAGTAAACAGTGAAGTTTTTTGTCATTCCCCAGATTTTTATACGTTTCCTCCACATTTCACTGTAAACCAAGCTGACCAGCAAAGTATGACAGGGCTTGGGACAAACTATAAGGCTGCAATCACCAGTGCCCACTTTTCTGCCCATGGTTTTAATTTTAAAATAATAATGCTACTCCTGAGCCTCATAGCTGTATATCTGCAGTGTAAGATCATCTAAGTCTGGCCATACACCTATCAACTTTTTTTTGTTAAACCAGCGGGCTGATAGAAAAAAATTGACCCGATTCCTCCTTTAAAACAAACAGCGATCGAGGAGTCCAGCTGTTTACATTGTATTCTGACAGGTGGCGGACACCCAACTCTCGTCTACAGGACCTCAGCAGGTAATGTAATTATGCAATAAAGAAGAGCTTTGCACTTTGAAAGCTCACCCCCCCCCAGACTCCTATCCTAGACAGGGATCTGGTATGGATTTTAAGGTGGGACCCCAGGCCAAATAAATAAATAAAAATAAGACAACATGCAGTTTCCTCCCTTTGTATCAGAGTCCCCCTGTGGCAAAAATTTGAAGGCACCCTTAACAGACCCAAAAGTCAGCCCAGGGAACAGATTAAAAACACTTTACATTGCTTAGCGCACTCAACATATGTGCACAATGGCAGCACTAGCACAAGGGATCGTTAGTGCACATAGTCCTACTCTAATATTGCGCCTCGGCAACTCCCCTGCTTGATTATGTCACTAAACTCCACCTTACATGTTATGTCACTTGACTTCGCTAATGCCTCTGAGGAAGAGTACACATACTAGAGTGCTGGCGGGTTGGTAATTTGAGCAAAAGGTATGCAGTAGTTCTTTAAAATGTAAATATAAAATATTGTATATTAATTATTTATATTTACCAATTGCAGCCTGAAGATGGTGCACTCAGGTCAGTTCTGCAGGGCCTTTGCTAAGTCTTTTTATTGGTGATGAATAGGCTGTAATTTGATGTGCTCTTTAGTACACTTAAGGAAGGATGAGTCAGATTAAGGATATACGCTCCCGGTCTAGCTCATACAGTCCCATATGATGTTTCAATTAGGTGGAAACAGTCAGAAAATAAGCAGCCACTGCTGGAACTATAGCATGCTCTACAAAGATTATGCTATGGAAGCAGTGGCGTCACATAGTGGCCTGCACCTGGGTGACAGCAAAATGACTGGCAGTCATTTTGCTGTCACCCCCCCTAAAAAGTCAGGCACTCAGGCATGGACCGAGAGCCCGACAGTTGCAGGAGAGAGGAGGGGACTGGTGGCATACCTTATCCCGCCGGGTGAATGTCCCCTCCTCTCTCTGCCGGTGTCTATCACCAAGATTGCCAGCGGCAGGTATCACAAAGATAG